TTTTTTTTTTTACACCTTTTGTTATTTTTTGGCAAAGTGCTTCCTAAAAGGGCAGGACCTGCCCCACTGGAAATCTTCCAGGACGGTTGCAAGGGTTGGAGATAACCCATGAAGTACCTGTTACAGGAGCAGCACACGGTAGGCTCAGTAACTTCTCATGCCCAGATGGGTTCTCTCTGAGGCCCTGACATGGCTGGTCCCACTAGACCCATTCGCTTAGCACCCGAAGAATGATTTCTTGTTCCTGCCCTGCTTCTGAGGGATACCTGGCAAAGCCCTGGGGAGGACAGTCGAGACTCCCTTATGAGTGTGAGGTGCTTGCTGGGCATCATCAGGCACATGTCCTGCTGACACCAAGCACACTCTCGTCACCCTTCTACTCGCTGAGCTCAGTAGGCTGCTTGACACTTTCTTCGGAAGGCAACCTTTACTCTTGGTTTTATATACCACCAAGGATGCAAAAGACCACAAGTAAACTGTAATTTGTTACTTCCTCACCACTTACAATGACAAAATTTAAAAACCACCTATCACTCTTGATCACTCACCTTAAAAGGAAAATACAGCAAAATACGTTTGTTTAAGCGATTCCTAAAACACTCCTTCAACATTCGGAGTCCGACCACCCTGCATCATTTTGATTCAGTCATCAGTGTGCGTGTTTTCCCAAGGGTATCTCAGTAACAAGACATAATCCAACTTCATCTAGAAGCTACCGTCCTTTATTAGGTCCCCCAAAGAACTTGCTTGTTGCTTCTCAAGAACACAGCAATGCAAATATCTGTTTGACTAATAGCAAATGAACACCGTGCTGCTTTGCTCTGGGTGCCTTTCAGTATTTGCAGTGACTTTGCATCTCAAAGTCAATTCCGAGTGCGATTTTGGAGACATTGTAAATGGCAATTAGACACAACATGTGTGGAACCAAGAGTGCACATAATTAAAGCGGTGGTCATATTAACAGCTCTGACCAAGTTCACACACAGGCAGGCCACGACAACCGTGTCACAGCTGCCCTGTGGCTGGCCGCAACTGCGGGATGCCATCGTGCATCTCTGAACAGCAGAACAGCGTGGATCTCTATTAGGCCTTCGTTCTTGGGAACTACTGCACTATCTGACTTCATCAGTTACATCCTGGAAGAGCAGAAACTACTCTTTCTTCCTTCTTCCCTGCGAAGGAAAGAACGTCTGTTGCTGGTGTCAAGGCAGTGACAATATAATGACCTTGACCTGAAAGGTATGTTTAATTTGAATCCTATTAAGGGGAAAAGGAACATTATAATATTTATTGAGCTACTATAACCCAGCTGCTTTTATGCATTATTTACACAGAATCCTCAAGATAACTCTCCAAGGTAGTGCTATTATCCACATTTTCAGACTGGGAAACAGGCTCAGAAAGGTGAAGTAAGTTGCCCAAGGTCACACAGCTAGTATAGGGAAGCTGTAATTCAAACCCA